AAGTTGAGAGGAAAGAATACGTTAACGCAAAAAGTAAATTAGAAAGAAAAGTAAAATTATAGTGAGAAAAAATGTTAAAATAAAAACAAGAGTCGAAATATACTTTTCAGAGAAAATAAATAAATAAATAGATAAATAGATAACTAAAAGTTATAGTGAAGGAAAATTTAAATAAAAGTTATAGTGTAGGAAAATTAAACGAGAAAATAAGATATAATTTTCGGAAGAAAAATAGATTAAAAAGAAAAATAAAAGTCTTAGAAAACGAAAGTGTAGAGAGATAAAAGTTTGAGAAAATATTAAATTTTTAGAGAGAAATGAGATAGGTTTATTAGAATAAAAAGAAAAAAAATAAAAATATATAAAAGATTAAATTTATTTACAAAGAGAAGTAATAATAAATATTTAAAAAATGAAAATTTTAGAGAGAAAAATAAAATTTTGTAGTGAGACGTAAGAAAAAAAATTTAGAGTGAGAAAAAAATTTGTTAGAGATAAATATGAGAAAGAAAAAAAAGTTGAGTATTGGAACAAAAAAATAAATCTTGAAAAATATAAGTCCGTTTTCGAAAACTAAGTTTTTTTTTTTAATTTACATAGAATTTCAAAATCGTTTTTGAAAAACTAAAAATTGAAGATTGAATCGGTTACTGAGCTCGTTTAATANTTTTATGTTTTTGAAAAACAAAAACATATATGTTTCATAACTGGTTTTTATTTTTTGTTTTTAAAAAACAGGAAACCAAATATGTTTGATAACGATTCTTGGTTTTCTGTTTTTAAAAAAGTTAGAAAATTGAAAATATATAATAGAGAGTCCTACGAGAGATGACAATAGTGTGGGGCAGGATTGAAGATGTGCTCCCCATTCTCGTACTCGTGAAAATTTTTAGTCCACTATCTCCACCTCATTCTTCAGTTCGAAAATTCAGAACGATGTTAAAGAATCGTTATTTTGGAACAGGAATATTCGCGGAAAAAATTACTGGTTTTGTAATTAATTTTAATTATTTTTAGAATTTTATAAAAAGTGTAACAAATGCATATGAATTATTTTTTAAAATTATTATTTACTATTATAAATAATTAGTTTTAAAAAATATTTAGTATTTTTTTCACAATTTAGTGAATATGTTAATAAAAAAATATAAATTATTAAAAAAATTGAATGGGGATGGGTTTGGGACATGCATTTCCTATTCTTGGAGCAAGGACCTGACCCTAGGAATTAGATACGTTAAAGAATAAAAGAAATTAGAAAGAAAAAGAAAAATTATAGTGAGATAAAATTTAAAGATAAAAACAAGATTCAAAATATACTTTTTAGATAAAAAAAAATTAATAAAAAGATAAATAAAAGTTATAGTGAAAGATAATTGAACAAGAAAATAAGATATAATATTTAGAGGAAAAATAGATTAAAAAGAAAAAGCAAAGTTTAAAAAAATGAAATTGTAGAGAGAGAAAAAGTTCGAGAAAATATTAACATTTTAGGGAGAGAAATGAGAGTGATCTGTTAGAAAAAAATAAAGACACCTAAAGATGAAAATTTTGGAGAAAGAGAAATAATAATAAATATTTAAAATTTTAAAATTTTAGTGAGAGAAAAATAAATTTTGGAGAGAAATTTAGGATGAAAAAAATTTTAGAATGAGAGAGAATTTTGTTAGAAATAAATATGAGAGAAAAAAAAAAGTTGAGTATTAGAACAAAAATCTAGATTTTGAAAAACACACCTAAGTTTTTGAAAACTATTTTTTTTTCTAATTTACCTAGGATTTTAAAATGGTTTTTGAAAAACCAAAAACAGAAAATTGAATGGGTTAACAAACTGTTTTTAAAAAACTAAAAACCAAAAACAGAAAACGAAATGGTTATCAAAATGGCTCTAACAATTAAGGGTGTAAATTGGTCGGTTCAAGTCTAGCTGGGTGCTGGGTTTTTTTTTTCTTTTTTTTAAATCATCATCATCCA